TTCAAACTTTATGGGTAGTGAATTGTCTTTAAGGCAAACTTTGGGTGGGGGGATGTTGTCTGGCCAATATATACACTTACATATTTTTCTAATTGTTATATAGAGTGAAAGACTTTTTTCCACCCAAATAATGGCTTAGTGACACTTTTCCACCCATAAACTTTTAAAATACAATTTTATCACCCAAATTTATATTCTGACTGCGAACAGAGAGCAAACTCAGTTTAGGCCATTGGAGCTTTTGAAGAGGGGAGGTCGATGAGTCTTTTGGTGGTGGAATATTGTTGGATTTTGATGGTTGAGATTAATCGGAATTTGACTTGGGAAAGACGACTGTGCAAACCTAATTGCTCGATTGGTGGCAATTAGCGGGGTCAGTGGGAGTAGGGTTTGAGGGGTTTTGGTGAGTGATAATCGAGAAAGAGAATGATGGTGGTGTGGGATCACAACAATGTCAGAATCAGAAACAGAATATTAATTTGGATAGTAAATTGGTATTTTAAAAGTCTGTAAGTGAGAAAGTATCATTAAATCATTATTTGGGTGGGAAAAATCGTTTACTCTTATTATAAATACAAATATATGTACTTACGCTAAACATAATGATAATTTTATCCCTTTGTTTAAGAAACTATCAACGTTCTCGTAATTGTGTTAATTTTATCGTCTAACTTTATTTAAAAATTGCGAGTGTAGTTTTATAATTTCTTAAAACAAAAACAAAAACAAACAAATAAAATTTGATGTTATTCTTGATTTTGGGTTTTGGTATAAGAATAATATTTACGTTTAATTTTAAAAATCAATTTTCGAAGTCAAACATTAAAGTAAATAGAGAAAAAACAACTTATGCTCATATGTTTACGACCATTTCAACGATTTTAAGGAATTGTGTATGCATTTATTTTTAACGACTTTTTTCCACTCAAATAATGCATTAATAACACTTTTCATCCACAGACTTTTAAAATATCATTTTATTACCCAAATTTATATTTCAGCAGCGAACAGAAAACAAACTCGTTCTAGGTTATGGGGCTTTTGAAGATGGGAGGACGATGAGTCTTTTGATGGTGGAAGATTGGATTTTGGTGGTTGGGATTGATTAGAATTTGAATTGGGAGGGGCGGCTGTGCAAACCCTAATCGCTCGATTGTCGGCAATTGGTGGGGTCAACGAGAGTAGGATTTAAGGGGTTTTGGTGAGTGATGATCGGGAAAGAGAATGGTAGTGGTGTGGGGTCGCAACGATGCCAGAATAGGACACGGAATATAAATTTGGGTAGTAAAATGGTATTTTAAAAGTCTGTAGGTAGAAAAGTATCATTAAATTATTATTTGGTGGAAAAAAGTCGTTTACTCTTATTATATTGAAGTATAATATGTAACATACAAGATTGCTTTGTCTCCCCTTGAGAAGAAGTCTCGTCCATAATAGGTTGAACGACATACACCCACCCAAGGTTTGAAGTAATGACAATGTGGTACCCAAATAATTTGAAAAAGACAAATAAATGTTTTTCGTCATTCTGTGTTAAAAATTTCAGTCTATTAAAGGGTAATATAGTAATTGTATATAGAGCAGCCAAATTTGAAATTTTAATTAACTTTCTCGATTAATGGAAGAAGCTTCTCTTGGAAGATTCCTTAGGGGCTTGACATGTGTCCTTAACAATTGACATTAAATAAAAAAAGAAGAATAAATGAAAGTCTATTGGCTTTTCGTGGCTGTTTGTTGTGGCTTTTTCTCCAGGCACTTATGTAATATTACCGCCTTCTTCAAGTCTTGGCATTGTCGCTTGTGTAGTTGGGTTGAGCTTCTTCTTCTTTCTTTTTGCCATTGTAGCGCAAGATAGGAAGTGGAGGAAGGTGTTTTGTCTAGAGTTTGAGGCTCTGAGCTACTGAACAGCTACTATCGACGACGACCTGAATGAAACCATCGACAACAACCAATGAAACATGAACCAGTGACAGGGGAGGACGAGTTAAAGCCGACGAGCATGACAGAGTGATGGAAAATTGTTTGCGACGAGTGAAGGGAAAAAACATTGAGAAGCAACATTATTGGCGTACGACATAAGGAACAACAACAACATTTGATGACGTAGGGTTGTTTACGAGTTGATGGTAGATAAAGCATCGACGACCGAATAGCAAAAAGCGAAGGTTTAATGGAGTAGGTAAATATTTGTCAGCCTTTTTTTTTCTTTGACGATTATTGAAAGTTGTATGATGGTTTGTTGGTTGTCGTTGATACTGTGTATGCGTGTAAGGTTTTGTGAAAAATATTTTCTGAGTGAAAGTGACTGTGAAAGATGTTGTTCTTGGTTTTTAATATTTTACTGCAGTACTAAGTCGGTTTGTGTTTGGTTCACAGGATTTGAAAGTGGTGGAGATCAAAAGTGGACAGTGAAGCCAAGCTATAAGGCCAGGTGATATTTTTGTTAAGGTTGTTTATATTGTGGAATGTTGCTGATAACTCTGAGAGAAGGACATGCAAAGATCTTCAGAATTTGTTTCTTCAATTACTTTTATTCTATATCTAATATAATAAGTTTTTAGGTAGCCAATGACTAGAAACTAAATAAAACTGGAAATCAATAGGAAGAAATAAAACTAAAAGAGGGAACTGGTGACTGGTCTTTGTTTTTCCCCTTTTGTTTAATGTAAAGTGGTGTTAATGGGATTTGTTTGATAGTAATTGAAATCAATGCTCTTGTTGTATTTAGGATTTTGAACAAACTCTACTTCTTAACATAAACTTACTTTCATGCTCTTGTTGTATTTAGGGAAAAAAAAATGCCTTTTTCACAATATATACTATGGATAACCTGGAGTGAGACTTGTTTACTACACTGAAAGAAAAATCCAGCAAAACGGTGGGGCTGGTTTGCTTGATTGTGCTATTAGGAGTGCTAGCATGAATATCTTGTCATATAAATTTTTCATTTTGCAGGATGAAGCCGCAACTATTTAATTTGATATTTCAATTGTTTGGTATTGATTGTGAGATGCAGAATGTTGACCCTGATGAATTTAGCTACATCGTGTTAATAAAGGACATGAAAAATGTGTTGCAGAGGAGAATGAGATGGTTCAACTATATCCTAATGAGAAGTTTAGGATAGAGGCTAAGCTACCGTGGTTAGGGAAGACATGTTTAATAGAAAATGATGAGGGTGTGACATTTCTTTTCAAGCAATATGGGTCGAAATGGTTGAAGGACATTAGGTTGTATATTGATGCTTTCCCGGTACAAAGTTTGGAATCATTGCAACCTTTGCCTGAACTGAACCCTATTAAGCCTAATGACAATGAAACAGAAAATCACCGCAAAGGTTTCTGTGACGATGACTTCCATTGGAGTGATGCCTCCAATGAGGAAGATGAAATAGGTAGTGGGTTTGGTGGTGCAATTGGGAATGTTGATGGTGAGGCTGGTGATAATGAATGGGGTAATGTAGCAAGTGGAGATGAAAGGGCTGAAAGTGCTGGAATTTTGTCTGATAACGATAAAAATAGTGACGATTTCATGGGTTTGGGGTTTAGTGAGGATGACGATATAGTTAACAGCATGAGTAGGAATATGAGGCAAATGAGTTTCAGTATGGGGTAGATGGGAAAATTTACTTTGAGGTAGGGCAGGTTTTTAGAAGTATTGTGCATTTTAGGATGGTTTTAAAGGACTACATAATTCAAAGAGGCTTTGCAGTGAGAAGGGTGTATAATCAAAAGCGGAGGATCAAAGCGGTGTGTAAAGTAGAGGGTTGTCCATTCCATATATATGCAGCTTTAATGATTGACAAACATTCGTACCAGATTAGGAAATATGAACATACGCACACATGCCTTAGAGTTTATAACAATCCGGATGCCTCAGCTACATGGATTGCCGAGAAGATGGGGGACTTTATTCGGTCACATAAGGGTTGTTGTGTTAAGCCCTTAGATGCTGAATTAGGAAGAGTGCATTTTTTGGAGATACATAAACGGAAGTTGTATAGGGCTTCTTTCTTTGACTCTTGCATGATTTCTTAGGTGACTTAGAGCATGTGACATTCATGAGTGATAGGCAAAAGGGTATTCTAAATGCATTACAAGCTAAGTGGCCAAATGCAAGGAGTCGATTTTGTGCTTGGCATGTGTACGCTAACTTTAGAAAGAATTTTCCTAGGATTCACCTAAGGAAATTGTTTTGGCAAGTGAGCAGGGCAGCAAACAGGACAAATTTTGTTGAGGTCATGGGTATGGTCAAAGATGTAGACGAGGATGTATACAAATGGTTGCTTGAAAATGAACCGGACCAATGGTCCAGACATGCCTTTGACACAACATCGAAGTCAGACCACATTACCAATAACATGAGTGAATGCTTCAATTCATGGTTGGGTGAAGATAGAGAACTTCCCATACTAGGTCTACTTGAGCTTTACCGATGTAGGGTGATGAAACGATTACAATGTAGATTTGAAGCCGGTACAAAATGGGTTACACCTCTTCCACCAGTGGTTCATAGAAAGATTAACAAGTTGATTGAATCAACTAGAAATGTCAATGTTCAGTACCCTGGATCTGATGAGTTTGAGGTGTTTGATAACAAGGAAGAGCGAAAACATGTGCTAGTTTTGGGTAACCAGGTGTGTGATTATGGCATGTGGCAGCTATCGGGTATTCCTTGTGTTCATGCTATAAGTTGTTTGTTACACAGAAACGTCTCCAACTTTGAAGAACATGTTGATCAAAAGCTTAGAATTCCAATGTACCTGCAAACTTATGCAGACATGATCCACTATGTCCTCGACAAGACCAGCTGGCCAGAGGTCAGCGATGAAAAAATCTGGCCACCAACCAAGCAACCCAAGCCTAGTAGACCTCCCAAGTCAAGAAGGAGAGACCCAACTGAAGAGCCAAAAAGTAAAAGGGTTTCTACCCTTAGATGTAGTGTCTGCAATGTCATGGGCCATAACAAAAGGTCTTGCAAAAAAAATCCAGCAAATGAAAATAAAGGAAAAAAGCAGAAGGTAATAGTAAAATGTCCATTTCATCATAATTTTTTCCAATGATTATCATACTAATATTGATTTCCTTTTTTTCGTTTTGTAACGAACATTTGTGCGCACAATGACTGCACCCTCTTCAGCAGCTCAGTTTGCAGCATCTTCAATGCCTTCTTCAACTCAGATGTCAATTTTGTCACAAGCTTCAAGTTCAAGGGGTACTTAAAACTATTTTAAACCATTTTTTATTTATGCCTATTACCTTTTACTGTCACTAACCTTATTCTTACTCATTTTAATAGGTCAACCAAGTCATTGATGCAAATGGGTGGTTTTTTTGTTTGCTGCAGCAGCAGGTTAACTTGTGGTATGAAAATTGGGTGACTGGTGGGTTTGTGTTTGATGATGATTTTCTTTGTCATTTTGATTTGGTTTTAACAATAAGAAATGGTTGTTTGTTTATGGTGTAGCATCTCTTTGTCTATCTGCACTTTTCCAATCATCAGATTCGTGAAGCCACAAACACCATGTTGTTCAAGATTTTCAAAGAGGACTATGCCACACTTCAAGACTTACGCAACTTTTTGGAGATCCTAATAGAAGCATCTTGTCAATTGCTTCAGCCACAAATTAAACATTTTAGTTGTGCTGCATTTTTTGTATACCTTCAGTTTGAACTTTTGCTATCAATACAAGGACAAATCTTTGCTTACTTAATTTTGCAAATACATTTTAGTATTTTTGTGTACACCAAGATATTGGATAATCTATCATATAGTAAACCTATGTAATTAAGGGTGAGTAAACTTCATTTTGTAGTTGAAACACAAGTTTTTCCAGGTTACAATTTTTTGCGTCTCAATCCGTTACAGACGACGTTTGCTCTAAGGAAATTCATAGGCAATCTGTATTAATGAAAGACTTCATTTTTCTCATTACCCTTGAGCCAGTGAGTTTAACAATGAAAGAATGTAAACCCTTATTTTCACTATGGTGGTCAACAATGAGTTAAAGAATGATGGTCAAGTATCATGCCTAAACATAAACAAACCAACACCAACAGACCATTGTGAAACAGAGAAGGCTACATAAACTTCAGAACACATTTGACTCAAGCAACCAAGGGCATTGAATTTTACAAAAATTCCTACAAGAATTGTGTTACTACTAGTAAAACTTCACTTGATAAAAGTTCATCTAGAAAAAACCGTTACAGAAGTCCATAATTAACGAACTTAAGAACAAGCTACATTCCAAGTAAAATCTAAAAAGCTCAGCTCTGCTCCTTATTTTCTAGGGCCTCCTCTACAGTACCAACCATCAACTCATCAAACTTCTCTGATTTCCTAAAGAACACACAATATTTAGATCACGTCAGATAGTTTGATTATACCAACCTAAGAATAAAATTTTAAGAATCCACAAAATCTCTTTTCTCCTCTTCTTCCTCAATTGCTTCCTCTTCGCTATCATTGCAGATTAGTGCTTCACTGCCATTTTGGTCATAATATATCCTCCTTCAACCCACCACTGATTGATCCTCTGTTATTGGTATCAGAGTCCTCCCCTTTTTGCGCATTTCAGAAGCTTCTTCCGGTGTTAGACCCTCTGGAGCCCTCTCAATCAACCTCGAATATACAGGAGTGGCAGGCTTCCACAGCATAAGAGGAAAACGCGGACGAGCCCTGTAGTTATAGTTTCTGCCTCTAAAAAGGTATAACACCCCTCCTCGTCTATAAATTATCTTCCCTCTTGTTCTTTCCTGCCAAATCATGAAAGATAGACACAACTTACTAATCAAACAACAATATCCAAGCACCCCAAAATTATCATATTCTTTAAGCAACAAGATGAACAAACCTCTAATTGCTGGCACACATTGTCCATGTCGACTGTACAGACTCCTTTGCACTTAATCTTGCACACTCTCCTCCATTTCCAATAAGAATGAATATTATCCAACATGTTATGTGTCAAACCATCTCTACCTGCAAACATTATTGTAAGCTTTGTCTTCAACAACAGAATCTAAAACAAAATAAAAATGAATTACCAATATTCAACTACCGGTTTGACTTGATGCACGAGTGAACTAGCTCCTCAACTTCCTCCTTGGTTAAGGGCTCCCCCAAAATTTCCTCCCTCGATGACACGTACCTTGGTCCGCTTCCTGGCAAATAGGAACCCGACTTCTGCACTGGTTTCACTCCCTTCTTGTTAGGTGGCGGCAATTCAAACGAGTCAAACTCCTTCAACTTTTTCTTACTCGCGGGCAATGGGGCTTGCCCAGTCCACGATCGCGACATCGTGGTGGGCCCAAACGGTGCGTACGGTTCATGCAATTTTAGTGGCTTCACCTTTGGTGTCTCCTTGTAGCTGTATTTGAACTCAAATGGCGCTCCATTGATTACGTAAGAGATGCCGTCTTCACCCACAGTTACTTTGGCTTTTGGATTGGCCGCTTTTGGTTTCATGGTCTGGACGAGCCATTTTAGGAGTAACTGATGAAACAGGGCATCAGGAAAAGCCTGAAACAGAAATCAAAGAAATATCCTCGTGCTTTTCTTTGCCGCCAATATGCAAAACCAACAGCTAGAGCAGCAAATGGTAAAACAGGAAGATTTTGGTGGTTAGTTTTAGGGTTTGGTTTGTCAGCGTGTTAATGGATTTTGTAATGAAATCCATTCAATTAATGAAGATTTCGAAATGGCGAAGAAGAAGGAAAACGAAAAAGAGCAATTTTGTCCATCTATTTCATCAACTAGAGACCAACGGAGAAGAGAAAAATAAGAAGCAAAAAAAGAATGATGGAGAAGAAGAAATGGAAACCAGAATGGCAGAGAAGAAAAAAAAAATTATTAATTGCCATGGCAAAATTTTAAGGGCATTTTAGTCTTTTAAGCAGTGTTACCTCTTAATAGACGGAAATCCTTAACAGAGAATGGCCAAAAATACTCATTTGTCTTTTCTAAACTACCTGGGTACCACATTGTCTTTACTTCAAACCTTGGGTGGTGCATGTCGTTCGCCCTTCCATAATATTAGATTCGTTATTTAATTATTTTATTTCAACAAACATGAAGATTTTTTTTTTTTTTTTTGTTTTTGGTCATGATGCATAAGGGATCTTTGATCGACTAAAATTGGTAGATTATTTTTTAGGGTAATGCTAAAGGTGCAAAGAAATTTACAAAGATTTTTGTACAAAGTGTATGGTAGGAGATGAATGAAAGAGTGAATATGAGTTTCACTTTTGTATTCACTCTTCCATTCATCTCCTGCTACATCACTCTTTATACAAGAAATCTTTGTAAATTTCTTTGTACCTTTAACATTATTGTACTTTTCATAGACTGGTTTGTATTTCCTCTACAATACTACTAGTTATATAAAAAAAAAAACTTACAAATATTTCTATACAAGGTGACATGGCAGAAAATGAATAGAAGAGTAAATACAAAAAGTAGTGGTGATAGCCCGGCCCGCCAACAAACTCGACCCGCCTCTTGGTTAGAAAGGTTGGCCCAGCCCGGCCCGCTAACCCTAACCTGGCAGGTTATGATGCTGGCCGGGCCGGGTTAGCCCACATTTTTTTTTTGTTTTTTAATTTTTCTTTTGTGTAATTGTTTTTAGTTAACTTTTCAAATATCAATAATTCAATTAATTTAATTTTTTTTTTTTTTGTTAACATTTCAAATATTAATTCAATTTTAATACAATAAAATTGTAATATAAGAAAAATTAAATTTATTCATTTATCAAAAAATAAAATAAGAATTACAACAATTATTGCCTCGTTAAAAACCTTACCTAGAAAAACCCAATGGTACAAAAACTTGGTAAGAAAAAAAGAGTGCAATAATTGACAATTAATTTACAAGTTACAATTTACAAAACAACTAATTTTGGGGTTGACTAGGACCTCCCTCATCCGTATAATTTATATTACAAAATTAAAATAATTCTATTAAAGTATCGTCGACAACCTTGTATTGATCCTGATGGCGTGATCGTTCCCAATCTCGAAGACATGTGAGGACTTCAATAATTTTTTGTGAAAGTTTAGTCCTCCTTTCATTTAAAATTCTTCCACTTGCACTAAATGTTTGTTCGGATGAGACGGTTGAGACATAAACAACGAAAACATCCAAGGCAAGTCTTGATAATACTAGAAAAATACATTTTTTGGTTTTCCAATATTCTAAGAGATCAAAGTTGGCTATTTGTTATGGATCTGCTGGTAACACTTCGGTGGTTCCCAAATATTGGTGACGCTCATTACTCTATAACTGCATAGAGGACAGTACATTCGTTGTTGGTGCTTTTGAAGAGGAGGTTGTGCTTCGGGTTCGAGTCCTCTTCAACCTATTAAGTGCACTTTAAGAGTTGAAGTCTTCATTTGTTTCTTCTGATGCATGGGTATTTCGCCTCTTTGCTGGCTCCTATATCTGTTTTCATATTGCAAATATACTTCAGCAAGACACTCTCTTACCTCTCATAGTTGATTGGCATATGCTTCGTTTTGTAAATTTTCAGTTAATACGTCTAAACCATTTTCTAAACCTGCTACTTTAATTCTAGAATCAAATATAGCATCTAAACAATAAAGAAAAGGAATGGGTTTTCAATATTTAAATTTTTTTTTTCCATTGCCTTTATTAGTCCCCATAAAATTTCATTGTTTATGTTTTTTCTAAATAAATCTGAAATTTTTATAATTGTAGACTAGTAGGATAATACACACCAAAAAGTTGTGAAGTGGATTAGTAAAAAATTTTAAGAAAAGAATGAAAATTTTTAGCTATATGCCAATCATTTTCTACCAAATAATGAGGACCTCTATTATTTACTACAAAATAACTAATTATATTTGCATAAGGTAAACATGAATCAAGTATTAGATAAATACTATTCCATTTAACAGGCATATCTAATGCAAAAGTTCTAGGAGACATATTTGATTTTATATAAGCATCTTGAAATTCAACATTTCTTTTATTACTACTAGTAATCCAAGCTAAAAAATCTCTAATTCTATCAATATTATCTCTAATTGTTTTCATACCACTTTTCACAATTAAATTAATAATGTGACATGCATAGTGTTGGTAAAAAAATTCAAATTGTCATAAAAATGATAATTAATTTAAAAAAAAAATTTATAGCTGTACTATTAGCACTTGCATTATCTAAAGTTAAACTTATCACTTTATTAATAACATCATAATCTTCCAAAATTTCAACAATTTTATTATAAATTTGTTGACTACTATGATCCACATTCATTAATCTAAATCTCAATAAAGATTTATTTAATTTACATTCGTTATCAAAATAATGACTAGTCACATAATTATAATCTTGTTTAGCTCTACCACTCCAAATATCGGCGATTAGAGCCACACTAATATAAAATGTATGTATTTTATTTTTTACTTCTAATTTCATTTTCCCAAACAATTTTATTAAATTGTTTCTAGTTGCAGTTTTAGAATAACTTTTAAATCCTGGAAAAAATAATTTTTTAATAAATCTTTCAAAATATTTATCTGCAGCTATATTAATAAGTTAATCAGTTGCAGTAATATATAAATCTAATTGTTCTCTATATACATCAAAATTATAACGCTAAGTAGTATCCATATTAGTTATTTGAGTTTGATTGGTTTCTCTATTTCCATGTTGAGTAATATATTTATTAGCATGCCCTTTTAAAGTACTAGTACCATTACCTGAATCAGCTTTATAAATATTTCCACAATACTTGCATCTTGCTTTCTTCACTTGAACTCCATTTTCTGTCTCGTAAAACTTATTGAAATGCACCCAAATGTCTGATGTGGGCCTATCGTTGGTTTCGACAGCAATTGATGAACTCGCTTCTGCTTGAGGTGAAGTTGGACGAGGACGACTTCTAGAACCATCAGGAGCTGTAGCAGCATGGGAAGGAATCGGAGGAATATTATGAGGTGCATCAGATTCTAAGACTGTGAAAGCAGGACTATTTGAATTTACTGCATTTATGTTAGTAAATTTAGGGGAATTAGGATAGCAATTTCCTTCATCATCGAAATCGATGGGATGTAAATATCTATCCATTGTAGTTTAAAAAAAAAAAAATTGATATAGAAGAAATAAAAAATTAAAGAAGGAGAATTGAAATTTGGAAATATGAATTGAAAATTGCAAAAACTAATAAAAATTAAAATGAGAGCAAATTGACAACAAAGAGAATAATTGAGAAATTTCAATAGACGTTAGAGAAAATGAGAGAATGAGAGAATTTGGGATGTGAGAAAATATGAGAGTTTAGGGCCTATTTATAGAAAAGAATGGAAAAAGAAAATAACGAAAAAGACCATTCCAACTGCTATAAAACAACTATATTTCAAGGGCAAAAGAGGTATTTGCAAGAAAAAATTATTATTTATTTTTTTTAATTTTTTTCCTATAACTGGCGTGTTGACCGTTGGCGCAGGGTTGAAAACTCCTAACCTAGCAGGTTGGCAGTTTTTTTTTTTTTTTTAAAAAGTAACCTGTTGGTTTGCCATATTAAAACCCGACCCGCCTAACGGAGTACATGCGGGTCTGGTTCAACCCAACCTGCCTTTTAGGGGGTCTGGATTGAACCTTCCTTAATGCGGGCCGGGTTAGGGCTGACCCGCCTATCCCGGCCCATTTATTCCACCTCTAATAAAAAGTCAAACTCAATCGTATTCGTTATTCACTCCTCCATTCAATTTCTGTTACAACACTTTATATATAACTCTTTGTAAGATTCCTTTATATGTGTAAAATTACTCTTTTCTCTAAGCTCTCTACAACTAGTCCAAAGACAAAAAAATCTCTCAACAGAATTTGCAATTTATCTGGTGGTAGCTATAACATGTCACTTAATTTCACTATTACAATCAGGAACATGAAACTGAACATTTGGCGTTTAAGCTTTTACATTATGGTCTTCACCCATGCCGTCGACTAATTAGTCCAATTCATAGATATAAAACTAAAGAAATTTTGCCTCTGCAACTATCAAGCTTCCACATCCTTCGGGAACAAACAACAAGGATCCTCTTTTCAGTGATTCGTCCTCTCTCTCATAAAACGATTTCCTGATCTTATAAAGCTCTCTAGCTTCGCACTGGAATCCATGGCTAGATATAATGTCATTTGGATGAACCAATCGACAGATTTCAGAACTTCGTATCTTCTCCAAACCATGTATCCTATCGTGTCTCAAACTCATAATAGATATCTGATTCTTGTTCTCTTCCTATTCGTTTAGAATCTGATAGAAAAAAAATATTATGATAATATCTCCATGTTACTTTGAAATTTCAATTCATGAGAATGGACAATAGAGCGGTAAACCAAAGGTCTTGACGGAGGAGGAGAAGAAGCAAATTACGGCTGAGCGTCCGTTTTCGGGGGGGGGTCTTGACCGTGGCCTTGTTAGGGTTACTAGAGCTTTTTTCCCAGTTAGGGTTCCGATAACAATCAAGCTTACGCCTCCGGTGTAGCTTTGCTTGTAAAGATCATCTAAGTGCAGTATACATAAGTATGAAAGTTTGTTTTTATTTTTATTGGAAGGTTTTTATTAGTATTATTACTATTTTGCATGTTTAACATCAAAGTAATATGATACCCAAAGATTGTTTGAATTTGGTGAAGAATCAACAAAAAAAATCAATATGTCTCTTGTATAGTATGAAATTATTCTATTTTTTTTTCAGTTCTTAGATTGACATTTTCTTGTGTCATAGAATGAATGATAAATATAAAAACTTATACGACTGTCTTTAAAATTGAATAGAATAGTATTAAACTGTATTTATATGAATGAATTTTTTAAAGACATTATATGATATGATTTGTTATTATAGAGAATACTAACGTAATATAAAATCTCTATACGGTAAGATTTTAATACAGAGGTATTAAACATTTTTTTATTTGTATTGCCTATTCTCAATTTCCGTTATCGATTTTTTATTTTAACTATAAAAATAAAAGAGAGAAAATTATTTCCCCTTAAATAATTTCCAAAAGTCAAAGTTTTCACATAACCCCTAGGGGCGTTTGGTTAGAGGCGGGATAATCCAGTTAACCGAACCAATTATTCGGTAAAGACAAAAATGTAAACAAAAATCGGTCCAGTTTATAGGAGAAACTGGATTTAAATCGAACCGAATATTCGGTTCGGTTATCCGGTTTTCAAACTGATTTTCAAATGCACCCCTAAATTCTTCAATTTTTTACATTTAAGTCCCTAAATTCAAATATTTATTATTTTACATATAATTTCATGCTATATTTTTCTTTTATTTGGGTATTGTTGTTGTATTCTTTGTGTTAAAAACAAATTAAATTACCTATTTGCAAATGCTGAATCCAAAATATGAAATAAAAACATAAAGTATTCAATTATACATTAATCAATACTCATCAATAAAAAGATAGGTATCAGTTAACGGCCATCGATCTGGCCGTCAATAACCAAATTAGATATGGCCATCAACGGCCAGATTTGTCACGATCTGGCCGGAATGGCTATAGTGACGCACGGGGGTCGTTTTCGACCTTCCGTGCGTCATTCTGGCAGCAGTGGTTGCCGGCGGCAGGGGGGTGGGAGTGGTGGCCTGGGTGGGCTGCAATTTGTTTTGAATTTAAGGGTAATTTTGTCCAAAAAGTTAATTAATTGGGGTAAAAAGTAAAAGTCATATTCATGTAAATAAATTTAAAAATAAGGGCATTACTGTCCTAAAATTTTATTAATATGGGATAGAATTGTAACAAAAAAAAAAAAAGATTACCCTGGTAATCTTAGAATACCTAAGAAAATTGAGGTAATCAGATTACCTCCAATATTACCAACAGTAACAAATATGGCATTTGAAGATTACCGGAATCTTATATTACTTGACAAAAAAACGTGGCAATTAAATAATATAAGATGACATAACTCCAGTAATCCCACATTATCCCCAACAAAACGCCCCCTTAAGGTAATCTAACTTTCCATTAATATAACATTCTCAGTAATCCAACATTCTTTGAACCAAACGCATTCCTATTGTCATCCAAGCTCTCTTAAAATATAGAAGGGCAAATTACTCTTTTCACTATATATATTGTTTTGAAGGAAACTTCCATTCCATAACAGACATAACATACATAAACCAATTCATAGGGAGAGAATCTGATGTTGCTAACCTAGCAACCTCATGAGCTAACAAATTAACTTTTCTTCTGGTGCATTGAAACCCAATGAGGAGCATCTGTAGGCTAGATTGTGAATATATCTCACAATTCCATCAATCTCCCAAAAAAAACATTTTACTTCTTGCAGGCCTTAATACAATCTAAGTAGTCTATTTCCAGTAGGACCATGCTCTAACCCAGACTGCAAGCCAAAGATATAGCTTCCAAATTTGATGCTTGCCCAGTTAACAAAGTGATATGGTGTAGGAAAAAATCTAACATTTTTACACAGAGTGATCTGATATACAAAAAGTCAAATTCATCATATTTATACCTTTATAATTTTTTGCCCACATGATTTTATATAGAAATCTTTATAAGATTTTTTTATATGTGTAGTATTACTTTTTAAAATTATATAATCTTAATTTATAGATATAATTAGAGAAAATTTACTTAGTTAAGATAGATACTCTAAACCACCATTATTTATGATAAATATTACTTGCATTAGATAATCTTGAACACAATCAAACATTTCAAATTTTGATCTTATATATTACATAAGAAAAATGCTACGGACACTGACGTTTTACACCAAATTTTGACACCGAACAACGTGTTCACTGAATCAGACGAGCCACGTATCACGTTAACAAATATTCTACGAATGAATAGTCGTTCATCAAATATGGAGGACCGTTCATTATTATTAGACAACCGTTCATTTGAAATAGACTCTCGTCTATATTATATGGACGACCATCTATCTAGAATGAACACCCGTTTATAGTTTAAACTAAAAAAATTTGGCATAAATTGTATAAGAGGATGGGCGTCCATCTTTTAATATTAACAAATTGAGTTAGTGCCTATTACTTTGAATATAGACAAAATTGAGTCTTCCTCCTAATTGAGTTAGTGTCATATTCTTATGACACTTGTCTAATTATTTTGAATATAGACAAAAATTTAATTAAGCTTATCCAATTACTTTGAATATAGAGAAAAATTGAATGAAGATAGCGTCCATCTATATTCAAAGTAAATTAAACAATTACTTTTAATTTTTTAAATTAAACAATGTACAAGCGTACATCTAAAAGGACGTATGTCCATTGAATATGGAGCTCCGTTCATATAATATATAGGACGTCTATAATTTTTATTTTAAATTTTTTTATTTTAAACAATAAATGAGTGTCTATTCTAGGTGAACGTCCGTTCATAGTAAATTGACTCCCGTTCATATTATATAAACGGAAGTCCATTGTTATTTTCTCATAGACAGGGTGTCCATTATAAGTGAACGACTGTCTGATAATCACGGACACCCAATTTTTTGCTTTTAAAATTTTTTGGATTGTCCATAGTAAATAAACGCGTCCATTATTTAAAAAAAAAAATTAGACGGAGTAAATTGACACCCGTTCATATAATATGAACAAGATTCCATTAAATATGGACGTCCATAAATATTGGATGGTCGTTCATTCACGAAAGACTCTAATGTGATTGCGTCTAACTAGTTGCTATGTTCATCAGTACAAAAATTCGGTGTAAAATTTGGGTGAGCATTACTCTATTACATAATTTTTTTATAAACTTTAAAATAAAAATTTATCTACAATAATTCTCTAAACCGGGTCAAATTCCCGGTCCAACTCTCGAACCGAAGCCACTAAACCCTCGTTTCTTTACCCTTCATTTTGAAAACCTTAGCCTCCATTTCATCACTCTCACTCTTTGATGGCTCTCTTCTCTGTAAACGCAAACCCGGAGCCCTCTCTAACCCATACTCATTCACCTTTCTCTCAACTTCCCAAAACGACAACAATGAAAACAACAACACACACGCTTCTCCTCTTCCCAACAATCTTCACTCAACTCTTTTTTCAGTGATGTCAAAGCAAGCCGCAAGAAACAGTCCCGCTACAACAGCAGCAAAGCGCTACCGTTTCCCTTTCTTTAGAGCAGCTCCCTCCGATCAGCTTCGATCGAAGAGTTCAGAAAGAATCTCCCGAGTTCCGGCAACTTTCCGCCTTGCCACCATCCCCGGGACCAAACCCTTCGTCCTCGTTTCAAGAAATTTGCAAAAGAGACGCAAACAGCGATTGGAAACCTAGGGGGAAGGTCTCTTTTGAGGCATTAGAGAGAGTTTAAGAAAATGGATCATTGAAAACAACACACCGACTCCTCTTCCCAACAATCTTCACTCACTTTATTTCAGTGATGTCAAGCAAGCCGCAAGAAACCGTCCCAGCTACAACAGCAGCAAAACGCTACAGGTTCGCCGTTCTTTAGAGCAGCTTCCTCCAAATCAGCTTCGCTCGAAAGTTCAGAAAGAATCTCGCCGAGTTCCGGCAGCGTTCCGCCGTGCCACCATCCCCGGGACCAAACCATTCGTCCTCGTTTCAAGAAATTTACCAAAGAGACGCAACTAGCGATTGGAAACTAGGGGGAAGGTCTCTTTTGAGCAATTAGAGAGAGTTTAAGGAAAATGAGATCATTTGAAAGCAACAACAACAACGACTCCTCTTCCGAACAATCTTCACACAACACTCTTATTCAAGTGATCTCAAAGCAAGCCGCAGAAACCGTCCCAGCTACAACAGAACCAAAATGCTGCCAGTTCGCCGTTCTTTAGAGCGGCTCCCTCCGAATCAGCTTCGCTCGAAGAGATCAGAAAGAATCTCGCCGAGTTACGGCAGCATTCCTCCGTGCCACACACCCGGGACCAAACCATTCGTCCTCGTTTCAAGAAATTTACAAAGATACGCAAACAGCGATCCGAAACCTAGTGGAAGCTCTCTTTTTGAGCAATTGGAGAGAGTTTAGAAAAAATGAGATCAAATAGTAGTAGTGATAGTAGTGTTGAGGGCAATGTGGCTGCTGTTTTTGTCGTTGTCGGCTTTCAAGAATCTTTTGAAACTGAAGCCACAAGACCGGAGTACGGTGATATTGGGACCCAGGTTTCCGGCGTCGGAGTTTGGGAAGGAGATGAGGGAGGAGAGATTTGAGATAGCAAGCTATGAGGACGGAGTTTGTGAAATGTAGCTATGGAGAATTGGGGGATAGTTGAAGAAGTTGTGAGGGGAGGATAGGCAGGAGGATTTCCACTGGCGGAGCTAAATGAAAGAGAGGAGAGAGTATCGATTGCTGGTGTTCCATTCGGAGATTAAGGGAGAGCTTGGCTAAACTCAAAGATTTCTAGTGATGAGAAAGCCAGAAGTATAGAGTGAGTTTGCTTCATCATTAAATTTCTTTTTGTGGAAGTCTTTTTAGGCGAATTCAGTTTTTCCTGTAATGATTTTTGTATGTTATTGCATTTCAGGCCAGGACTTGATATATTAGGTCAGTTAGATCAGACACCAATTTATGATGCGTCTTCCAAGGAACATATATTGAAGGAAGAGTGGTTTTGTTACTGATAATATAGATTTTTTAGTAATTTTATATATGGTTTTAGAATATGTTTGATGCAGTATTTCCATCCAGTCCCAGATAACATGTCTTTGGCTGAAAAAATTAAAATTGAGCTTCCAAAGTTAGAGAAGAATTTAAGATGTCAAAATCAGATTGTGGATCTGCTCGAGTACAGGTTAAGGGGGTTACTTTGTTTTTTTTTCTTAAACTTTGACATTCTTGTTGAACTAAATATTTTTAATCCTTTGTTGCATGATACATGTTATAACCTTTATTTTTGACTTATGCCCAAGTTTTTGGAGATCAACTTAAATAAAAGTCGTGGATATGATTAAGAACAATAAGATAATTTCTAGTTAGAATACTACGTTGTTAAATGTGATACTGTTAGAAAATTGACTCATTTTGAGCTCAAATTTGCATTGGATTGAAACTTTATTTCTTATTTGATGAAAAGGTTTTGAGAGATGAAGAAGAACTAGTAATGACATTTATTGAACTCAAGAGATTGTGCACAGCAGCTTTATGAGTATCAAGCAGATAAGTGACCTGATGAATTATGTTTATTATATGATCCAGTAGGACTTAGGAGACTAGCAATTCAGAATCAAGTTTTTTCTTTTATTTGTGCGTGTTTGTGAAATAGGTTAGTTTGAGAGGGCATTGAGAAGTCTAGATAATGTGTTATGCATTTCAACAAGTTGGTATTTGACTACAAATCTGGAAAACTGGTGGTTATGTTCAGGTGGCCGACCATGTACTGGTATCCAACAGAATTTCATATTATTCTTATGGTTTTACCTCTTGCATGATAGGAACAAATATCAGTCAAATTTGTTTTAGCTTGCATTTCTTCTGAAATATGGGTGGTTATAACTATGTTGGATGATTAGAACTGGAATTTACAAACTTTTGTTGACACATTCCCTTTTGTTGGTGTTTTTTTTTTTTTTTTTTTTCTTGTTGAAGGTTTTTGACGTCTGATTGCTAATTGCTTTGTATGGCACAGCTCACAACTAATCAATCATTTATCTTCAGTTCTGTGCAAAAGGTAGATTGAAGGCTCAATCTCTTTAGATTTCTGTTTCCAAATTTCATCACAAATTTGTACTTTTTGGATGACCCAAAAATCCTTCACAATTATTATTGTGGCTTTCTGAGTTCACTTAATAGTTTGAATGGTTCATGTTCTTCATGGATAAATTGCATATTCTTGCTGGTTACGCTATTGTATACTACTGTGATTTGATGATGGTTACTGCAAACTCTTTAACTGTTAATTTATTTGAATCCAGTGATTTAGAAAGTTAATGAGTTGCAATAACATATATGCTCTGTTTGGATTACCAAAGGTGAATGTTGAATGGACCTTAACAAGAACTTTGATAGAGATAACGCCAGTTTGCTTGACTCACATTTTATAATGGTAGAAAATAATACATTTATGTGATTTTCATTTATTCTTCTTTGTTTATCTCAGATGATAATTTGACATGTTCATTGGTTGTAAATCACTGTTGCTATGATAAAACATCTTTTATTTATCAGTGGTGGTTGTTTACTTATTTATCAATACATGAGTTTATCTTAATTAATTTGTTATTACTTTTGTACTAGAAAGGGTCTTATAGCTGTTGAAATATCTCCGAAGAACAGACTGGGTTTCCTACTGCTTTGTGCTCTATAAACAAAAGCTTAAGCTACGCAAGATCAAGAACTAGATTAAAAATCATTTTAACCATCTTAAATTTCCCTGTTTTTGGAACTTTGTTGTGGTTGATTTGGCCAACTTTGTACCAATTCCGGCTCTCATTAGTCTTCCCCTTCTATAAATAAGTAAATTTGTAGTCGGTTATATGATCGTCCATTCACGCCAGATTGCCAAGAAACAATAAAAAGAACTCAAAACTTTGAGTTTCTAAACAAACAATTTTATTGAATAAAAAAATATGCCTTTAAGGCTATAAAACAACTCAATTTATAGGTATTACTATCCTAAGTCTATTAAGGAACTAAACAACAAGAATTAATATCAAATTAAGACTACTAAACAAAATAGAAACAGAAAAACAAAATTAGGAAAACCTAAAAATGAGAAAATAATAAAACCTCTTTTCCTAAATAATCCTAATATAATATGGTTTGTATCATTCCCCCCCAACATGGAGGAATTCGCCCTCGAATTTGGAATCCACATGATGTTGTCGTTTTGTTATTGCATTTGCTTGTGCGCGAGGATCTATCATCAAAAGCATGTTAGGTATTGTAGTAAGCAAGGTGGGATGATTAGAGGATGACTGATGAGAGACGTCTTGAATCTCGACTAATGTTACGAGTTGGAAGTATTACACTCAAAAGGCTAACTTGTTAGGTGGAAGGATTCTTCTCTTTTATAAGTCTAAGACCTTTCCGATACGTTTTCAATGTACAATTTGTTACACTAGGTATTAAAACAATCTTAACACCACTAAATGTAAATGGTCGGTAATTATTGATACAACAATCTAGTATAGTTCTGAGGCAAAAAGGCAACAGATATATGCTTTTTCAATTTCTTCCATGATTCCATCTTTTTCTTTCCTTGTCTCAGTCTGGTAAATTTAGTTTGTTGCCACCATGCTGCAGCCCTTCAGCGAAATGTAGTAGCAACTAAAGAAGCTTGCTGACCGACACTTCCTTGAACTCGAATATTTCTTCGACCGCGCTAATCCAAAGGCCTTTTTGCATGGAACTTAGGGATGCCCACCTTGAACCCGGCTTCCCATCTTCTTTCTTGATTCTGTTCAGACATATTCCGGCGTGGAATAAAGAACGAGTTGTTGAGCACTACTTGATTCTAATATAGTGGCCACTTGTTGAGTTATCATCTCCACTTGCTGAGTCAACCTAGCTATAGCTTCAGCTTGACTTTGGGTTGGATTTGTGGTTGTCTTCTAGGACGGCACTTATGTTTTTTGGGACTAAATTGAAAATTACATAATTGAGAGGACTAAATTGGAAAAATAAGACTCGCAGGACTGAACTCAGAACTCACGAAAATAGAAGACTGAAACGAAGTTAGCTACAAATGGGGCTGATTGAAATAAAATAGAATTAAGGGACTAAATTGGAAAAATAAGACTTGAACTCAGAACTCACGAAAATAGAAGACTGAAACGAAGTAAGCTACAAAATGGGCTGATTGAAATAAAATAGAATTAAGGGACTAAAAATTTTACACCTGGACGAAAACAAAAACTCTGCAATCTGCTTCTATGAACTACAGTAACTAACTAACGTTAGATAGCTTGACTTATGACTCTTAGATATATTATTTAAGAGGTCTTGAGTTCAAATTCTTACGATATTAATAAAGGTAGACATTGGAGGCTGTTAGCTGTTAATTTTAGGGTCTTAAATTAGTTAAAGTGTAGTAAGCTGACTCAAACACCTCTGACCCTGGATACCAAAAAAATTGCAAACTCAATAAAATAAATTAACTGAGAAAAAGTTTTTGTGTGTGGGGAAAGGGTGTTTGAAAGGAATTTGAAAATGGAAGGGTTTGTGTAAAGGATTATTCGGCTCTGATACCAACTGATGTAGTTCATGGAGGATAAAACTCTAAATTTGTTTAGAGGGTGTTAGCCTCTTAGGATCTTCGTGATTTTTACGAATACCGGTATCAGTTAATTATCAAGTTAAATAATGAAAGAGAAAGAGAAGATTTATGAGAAATTATTCAAGTTTGATTATATTTCAACTAAAAGACTAATTGGAACTTGAATATATAACGTCAAACTTGAATATATGAACTATATAAAGAAATTAAATTGAAACTAATAACAAGTTATTTGAAAATTAACGTTATTAATGGGCTAAAAATGTCCATATTATATCTGGATAACAATCATACTCTTATGAAAAATATCACTTGTGATAATAGTTTACTATTAAATATATAATTTCTCTAAAGAATTCCCATATTTAGGTGGGGACAT